AGAGAAACAGAGAGAAAGTGAGAAATCACCCCCAGGGTGGATGGTCACATGGCAATCTCCATTGTTCTCTTGGGATTTCAGGCATGCATGCACACACGCCTGGTATGTTTTTCAAGCTGCTGGATCTAGGATTCTCATGGCAGAGTTGACAATGTGGGATCTAGTGCTTTAACCTCCATGCTAACTGCTGGCCCTGTCAGCCAACTTTTTGATATTGGATAAATTACATATATTGATAATGGAAATATCTTCCTTGGTATAAATGATAAAATTCTCAAAAGTAATGTAATTACATTTTATGTTTAAACTTTTTCAAGAAATAAATTCTTAAAATCATGGTAGAAATTACATCAAAATTAGTTAATATAAAATATTTTAAAAAAACTCTCTAGAAGACTAAAACAAAATTTTTCTAATATTTTAAATTTATCATCAGTTATGTTCCATCTAATCTGCTTAAGGAGTTTTGTGCATCTATGGAGGTGTATTATTAAATAGTTCCTTCTGAAATCTAACTTTTTTGGTCTTCAGGAGAAGGTATTAGGATAGTTCTTAGATGATTTAAAAAAACTTACCATTTTTATTTTTTGCTAAAAACTTCTGCAAGGACACAGGGGATACTTTTAGTGACTTGGACAAAGGAGCCTACTCAAAAAAACTTTTTAAAGGTAATATCTTTCATTCTAAGCATTTACAAAAAAATTAATGTTACTCCATAATATGCCTGTTGACTTTAGTATAAAAAATAATATGACAAATTACTTGCTATTAGAATAAGAGAAAATGTTACTTTAAGTTATTTTCAAAAATACTTTTATTGTTTATTAATTTCAGAAATTTCTTATTAATTAAAAGGTCCAACACTCCATATAATATTTTCCAATGTAGTGTGGTAACGGTTTGAAAATCTGGGCTCACAAAAATACAGATATAAATGACAACAGAGAAATATCTAGAATGCAAAAAAAAAAATAGGTGGCATTGGGTAAAATTTATTGGCTACTGTTGGTGAACATTTCTGTAAGTATCTATCTTCTTGCTGACAAATTAAGTTGCATGAAACATGAAAGTCTAAAGGGGCTGCTGATACACCAACTAGTCATTTTTACTATTTCAGGAAAATATGTGCTGTGAAGAAAGACAGCTGATGTTCTTCTCCATTTTATCACCAATACTGTAATGTTCATCACATGAGCATAAACCACGGGTCTTAAACAACTCATGGTTCCAACCATCAATTTTGGGATCTATCCCTCAGATTTCATGTTCATTGCCAAGACCTTGCTGTGGGCTGTAAAAAAAAAAATCCAATTTTTTCTTTTCTGTGGACTAAGAAAGTTCAACATTGAAATATGTTAAATGTGCCATTAACACAAACAAAGAATTTGTCTATTTTATTCCTATTCTTTCCCCCTCTGTTGTGATTTTTCTTGTCTCAGTAAAGAAAATAAAAATTTAGTTTTCAGCTTGAAAGCTCAGAGAAGCATTTATCCTCAGCTCGATAGAACAAGCTGTCAAAGTTGCTGTCAATGTCATGTCACACTTTTGCAAAAAAGATGAGTATTCAAAGAACGGATTTTTATTAGTTATTATTCTTATCATTTTTTCCACTTTATTGATTCATTGAGAAAGACCAAAGGACAATTTCTTTAGGGTAGCTGTTCTCAGGCAATAATGCATATTTTGCCAAAGGATTCAGGGTTGACATGGCTTTCTGGTCCTGAAGTTTGACCATAGGTGTAGCCTGGTCGTGTAGAATTTTCAAGTATGTCTTCTGAGGGCATTAATACACATCCTCTGACTATGTCAATAACAAATACTTTCAGCTTGGTTGCTTCATTTTTTAGCTCAGAACTGGCTTAGCCATATCTAAATTGCAGGAGTGCTTTCTACTAATACGCGAGCTTCACCTTCTCAGGCAATTCTGACCTTGAGGAAAGCTTCCAGAAAATTTCATTTGCTTGTTTACATTTCTTCTTCTTTTTTTTTTTTTTCTATTATCCTTATGCAAGATGGCTCTCTTTTTTGGTAACGAGAAATTCTGATGATTTATTTTCAAAATTTCCATGATTAATATTTAAGTGTCCATTAAGAGCAATGCAGTTCCTGCTTAGGAGTTGCATATAGGCAGGATACCAAGGTTTAGGCTCATTTGCATTTCTAAAATAATAAAAAACCATATTCTCAATAAGCATCCAAGCATAGACTAAAATGTTTAGTCAGACTGCATGGTTGTTGAGGGGAAACTACCACCAGGGCTTGGGAGTGGATGAAATGTCTCCGGCACTTGGCCATTATGTTCCGCCATTTAACGATGTCAGGCGGTCCTGAATTCTTCCAGTTATCTTAAAAAATTCACCACATTTTACAGTTACAAATGAATAATTCCTGTTTCTTTTTATGCTGACATGTTCCTAGGTGAACATTTAATTGAAAAAGAACATTAAAAGAAGTGATGACTGAAGACTGCTCTCCTGACCACAGCTTGATAATGACGGTTATATTTGCGTTTCTGATTTCCTTGTGTTTGTAAAGTTTAAGAAAAGTCTTCATTAGTAAATAAACACAAAATAATTAGGAAAAACCCAGAGAGGTAAAGGCATGGAAAACAGAGCAGTCAATAACTCATCAAGACTAGTTCTCTCTTTTTTTTTTTTTTTTTGAGAGAGAGATTTTAGCTATAGGGAACATGTGCTTATCGGACAGACAGGTTGAGTGACAGAGAGACAGAATGCAAGAAACCCCCCCCAGGGGGTCTGGCCATACTGCAATCTCTTCTCCTCAATTCTCCTCTCAGGATTTTGGGCATGCATACAAATGCACCCAGCATGAGTTTTAAGCCACCAGATCCGGGACTCGAACTGCAGTTGACTATGTGGGAGTCCGGCGGTGTAACTATTATGCCACATGCTGTTCCTGACAAATTCTCTTACATTGAACTTACAAATTTATGACCAGCACTGAAGATGTTTGCACATCCAACATAAGAACATTTGCAGTTAGTTTGCAATCAGTACTCCTATCTATTTTCTTGAGTCCATGACAGGGCTTTTTTAGCTGTTTATTTAGTAAGTAGGTCATCTTCACCATTTTAAGAAAAACAGGAAAAGGCCAGTAGTGGCGTGGTGATTAAGGAGGCTGGATCCCAAAGGGCTAACTGTGCAGTTTGAGTCCTGGACCTGGCAGCTTGAGAAACACACAGGGTACATGTACTTGTGTGTTGATATGACCTTCTAGTCCCGATGTTTGACCATAGGTCTAGCCTGGTCTGTGTAGAATTTTCAAGTATGTCTTCTGAGGATATTAATATGCATCCCCTGACTATGCCAATAATGATATCCTTTTCAGTTTCGTTGTGTCTGAATCAACATGTCTGTGCATGCCCAAAATCCCAGAAGTGGAGAAATGGAAGAGAAGGGATTTCAGCTTGACCGTTCTCCACAGGGGATGCTTTTTAACTTTCTCTTTCTCTCTCTTTCTCCAGTGAGGATGCACATGTCCTCTAGCAAATTAAAAACAAACGAGTAACAACACCAACAAAAAAAACAGGATAAAGGGGAAAAGAAAGAAAGAAATGGAAACTGAGACCAATTCTGATATTTTTTCGGAATTACTGCAACTGTCGATTATTTAAACATAAACGCAATGTTACAGATGTTGAATTTGAGGCACATGTTTCATTCAGTTCCTTGCATGGCAATAGACGAGTGATCAGGGTTCTCAGCCCCTGTGGCCATTGAGGTGTTCTCTTTCCTCTCAGAGCAGGGAGTGTGTGCTCGCTCAGGCAGAGGTAGTTCACTGCTTCCTCGTTATTTCTGCTCCCCTACTCTTATAAGGGCACCCGGTTCACAGACCTAGTGTTTTCCTAAGGCTCCCCAAGACAAGACTCAGAACAGTATTAAAGACCACATGCTCCTTCTCTTTGCTTTCAGTCGGTTCCCATGAACCTGGAAAGCCTCTTGGGTGTGAAAGGCCAGTAACCATAGTGAATAAATGTCACCTCCCAAAACCCTTCTGAGACTTACAAGTTGCTTCTTTCTCAGGTATACAGAACCCTCAGATTCAGAGTTTTCTCATTAGTGTTTGCTCTTTGAGCCTTATAACTGCTGTGTGCAGGGCGGCCTGGGTGGCTACCCTCATGTGATATGGGGACATGGGTGATGGAGAAGTCTCAGTGATCTTTAAGGACATCAGGCTATGAGGGAGGCCAGGAAGTGTAGCTGGCTCAGCTGCCTCTGAAATGTGCTTCCCACCATGCCCTGCATGGGACCTCTGGGACCTCTGAGCCTGCAGACCTGCTCCAGCCACCAGGACCCTTGTGTCACCTCCCTTCTTACTCCATCTTTCACCTGCAATGTCTTAAAGCCTGATCAGGAAAATAGGTTGTGGGCCTGTGAGACATGCACCTCATTAGCAGAGTTTTTATTTCGTTGGCTACTTTAGACACTATGGATAAAACGACACAGTGCTAACGCCTATTATGAATTCACTCAAGATATTGCCTACTCCTATATTTGGAAATGCACTGTAACACTTTTTTTTTAAAGTGATATGATATGTGTTTGCTCACTGGAAAGAGACAGAGAGAGAAAGAGAGAATGAAAGCAAGAAAGCACTCCCCCTCTCACCCCCAAGGTGGGAGGGCTGGCCATGCCACAATCCCTTCTTTTCTTGGGATTTGGGGACAAGCACACATACTCAGCATGTTTTTCAAGCCACAGGTTCAACTGTGCAGTCAGCCATGTAGGATCTAGCAGCCTCAACCACCATGCCATTGACTGGCCCCTTGGTAACCTTTTATAATTTTTCTTTTTTACATCTTTGGACTGTTGTAATTTTGCTCAGTATGCATTAAATACCATTGGCTAAAACAGATACGGTATGCTCTGAACTGGCACTGTTGGGGCTGCATGTGTGGGCCTGCTGTTGGGGCAGGTGTGTGTGTGTGTGTGTGTGTGTGTGTGTGTGTGTGCTGTGTCTCTAAGGATCACGTTTCTTACCGCTGAGGAGAGGTCGGTTGTGCCGGTACGAGGCTGGCAGCTGGCCGATGTCCTCCATTCTGTGGCTCATGACCCGGGAGAGGTGGCCTGTGTGGTGCAGGCTTCCCACAATGATGCTGTGCAGGTACACAGGCTCGATGAAGTGACAGAGGAGAGCCCCTTGCAGTCCCAAAACATTCCACCTGGAAGGAAAGTGGGGGCGAAGTTAATGGGATCCCCCACCTGTTGGGATGAAGGTGGAAGATAGTAGCCACCAGTCCTCCTGGGCACCTAGGTAACTAGGCTTGGGGTGCAAAATGTTGGTACCTTTCTGAAACTAAGCCCTAGGTCTGTCACTTCCCATCAAGATGACATGGGAAGGACTCCCCAGACACACGGGGCCACTAGGGCGGCTTTGGCCTGGGGCCACTAATGATTCTGAGCAGCTCTTAGGCTGAGAGAGTGAAGTCTGAAGGTGCCTCTGCAGGTGCATTAACTGGGCCTCCTTTTCTGGAAAATAAGTTGTTAGATGAAGTGGAAGCAACATATTCTCACGGACTAAAAATTAGATTGAAAAAAAAAAAAGGCACTCTGACCCAAAGTGAATCTGAATGTTTTTTTTTTTTTGTATTAGCTGTGAAATATCAGAAATTGAACTTGCTTATTCAGTTTAGGGAAAAATACTATTTTCTACTCCCTCTGTCCTTAGCAGTCAGAATGACCTATCGTGTTGGAATTAAATGACATTAATAAATGACCTTACTCTGGTCTGGGAAAGATTTTGATATGAGAAGCCCAGATCAGAGAGGAATACAGACCTTTTTCTTTTAAATAAAGATAGCTCTAGGTGAGTGTTTTAGTGTCTTCAAGCAAAGAAGCTTGGAGCACTGTAAGATTTTTTTTTCCTTTAATTCGGCTAGTATTTAAAGTAACGTTTTTGTGATTTCCACTCTAATGTGCTAAAAATCCAACCTCGGTTGGTAGCAAGCATTAGGCAGCTAATTTCTTACATCATTGTTCTTTTCATTAATTAACATTTCTCCGCTGTTAGATGCTGTACATCTCTTCTCATGATTAATAAGGAGTCATTATATCTCCCTTCCTGAAGCAGTCAATTAACAGAGAATTCTTTCCATTAATTACCGAACGCCTCTCTACCTGGAGAGCAATCTGCTCTGAGAACCTGTGACACCAATTGCTTTAAAAAGTTCTCTTTAAATTTTATTCCAAAAACACAAGCAATTTAGCTGGCGATATTAATTTGCCTCAGAAGCATCGCAGTGAATGAGAAGCATCTTTTAATCTCATGCAAGAAAAGGCAGCCATCTGGCTGGTGAGGGTTTCAGGGAGTGACTCTCCCACTCTCCCTCCGTAAATGCAGGTCATTAAAGTAATGTGTTCATCTACATAAAACTCAAATGGAATATAAAAGGTAATATTTATATACAAACAATTTAGTCCTACAATTTAAACAGTCATTGGTTTTATGAAACATTTACTTTAGTCTATCAGATTTGCATAACTTCATTTAAAAAAAATATTGTGGTCATTTCTATGAGTCACATAATTTCTCTCAGAAAGCAAGGAGAGGGCTGGCCTCTAGATACATATAATTCTACCAAAGGGTAAATATCAACGTGTATTGAAGGAGAGGACAGTTTTGAAAGCCACACAAGTCCTTATGACTGACGTTTAGGGACCCCTTACTTGGCAACAATGTTTCTGTCTAGGCCTGTATTGTCACCTTGACAGTCTGACAGGTCACCCGTGATTCTTTGGAAGTGATCTTTTCTTTGTTATTCTATGATAAGTTCCAGAATGTCTATAAAATTCTGGAGAGGTTTTGGTATCTCAGCTTTTCCTTGAAAGAACAATGCTGATTTTTTTTAAAAGAGAGATTTTTGCTATAGGGCTCATGTACTCACTGGAGAGACAGAGAGACAGAAAGGAAGAAATTACCCACCCCCCCCACCCCCCCCCACCGGGGATGGCCACACCACAATTCCTTCTCCTCTATTCTCCTCTCAGGATTTTGGACATGTATACACATGTGTCTGGTGTAAGTTTTAAGCTGCCAGGGTCTAGGACTCAAACCATGGTTGACTATGTGGGAGTCCAGCAACATAACCATAAGGCCATCTGCTGGTCTCCTATGCTGACATTTTAGAGCAGCACTTAAGGAGTATATCTGGCTAATTCTCCTAAATGTGGTTCCAAGAGATGGCCTAAAAGGTGAGGAGAAATCCACCAAAGTCCCCTCCTTTAGTATCTGAAATGCATACCTTTCAGATTTGCAGATACTGGTAGAGTATAGTTGGTTGAACGTTACTGTCTGTGGCTAAGGACTCTGGTTTGTAGACAACTTAAGTGGGGCCTTAGATTCTCAGAATATGAGTGAAGTTTTAAACCATCTTATCAATTAAAAGCAGGGAAAAGTACACTTCCCCCATTGGTAACCAAGTGCTTTCTTCAAACAAGCTAAATCTTAAAATCTAATTAGTAATTCCATGGGAGATGTCATAGTATGTGAGGCCATTGAAGCATTGGCTTCAAACGAAGCTTTTGGAACACATTTGAGTGGTTCTGATCCTGCAGGATTCTCTAAAGACAAATAACTTCTATATGTGATTTCTTCCTAATAACCTTTACAATAAAGAGAAAATCAAACTTCTTCTTGCCTGGCCGTAGGAGTTTAACCTTATTCAGCTAACACGGTCACTAAAACCAAATGTCCTCCTGAATATAAACTGGAGAATTTTCAGCATTCAGGATTGAAAGGAAAAATACCTCTCCTTTTGTTCAAACAGTTGATATTATTGCAATGTTGACAAAGAATAAAAAAACCCATGTCTAGTTTTCAATATAGATAATCCCTAAATAAATATATTTCTGTCTGTTTGTCAATCATTGAAATACCACAGAAAAGTGGGAGAAAGATCTTGGAAAGGGATTGCCTTTCTTAACCAAGAGATGCAATCTCCTTGCTTGGTGCAGACATTGGCCTCTGGGTAACAATGGGAACAGTGACAAGATTCTTTGTAGGATGGGCTTTACTTTAGATGAAATTGCAGGTATGGCTTTGGAGAAGAAAACACACAACAGCGATTACACTTGCCTCTGTTGGTACATCCACATTCCTTACTATTGTTTTAGCCAGTTAACATGGCCCTGAGAAAAGATGTAGCTCTAAATTTGTAGGGAAGTTTGTGCCTGCATTCAGGTACCATAATAAATACTTCCTTCTGGGACCAGCAGTTGATATAATGGCTATGTTGCTGGACTCCCATGTGGTCTACCGCGGTTCAAGTCCCAGACCCGATGACTTAAGCTCACGCCGGGCACATGTGTGTGTGTGTGCCCAAGATCCCAAGAGGAGAAAGGAGGAGAAGGGATTGCAGCGTGACCATCTCTCCTGGGGGATGACTTCTCACTCTCTGTCTCTCTGTCTCTCTCTCGCTCTCTGGTGAGCGCATGCACTCTATAGCAAAAACCTCTCTAAATCAATCAATCAATCAATCAATCCTTCCTTCACTTTCCCAATCTTTGGGCAAATTTGCCGTGGTTGAGATGTATGACACAATAATCTGGGGAAGTCCCCCTGCTGTGTTTGGAGACTGTGGAGTCCAGAAGAGGGGCAGGAGGAGGGTTGAAGACAGTGCCCACACTCCAGAAGGAAGGCTCTCGGGCTCTGCTGGAGGACCATCATCTTCAACTCTGCCTGTGTGCTGGGATCATCTGGAGGCTTTGAGGCTTTTCTGATGCTTGGTTCCCTCAAAGACTGATATAACTGGTGGGGCATCCACTTTCTCATTGTTCCCCGTGATGCTAATGTGAGCCAGAGCTGATGGCATCTGCAGCCAAGTAGTTGGCACAGGTTTCAGAGTAAAAAAGTTGGGTCGAATCCAACTGATACCGGCCAGCTTTCAGCAGCTCTCCACTCGGCGATTCTCAGAGCGTGGCCCCTGATTCAGCCGCATCTGCATCATCTGGGAACATGACAGACATGCAGGTGCTTGGGTCCCAACCTAGACCTGCTAAATCTGAAACCCCAGGGGATTCTGATGCTGCTCCAGTGGGAGCACCTTGGCACTGGTCATAATGGTAATACGGCGTGAATGCTATAGAGAGAACTTAATCTCCCACCATTTGGAGCATGACAACTTCCTCCACACCTGTTCCCTCACCCAGTCTCACCTCTTCTTCCTCCCTCCTCTTTTTATGTTTAAATTTTTAAAAAGAATTACTTTATTTAACTTTACTTATTTATTTAAATTTGACCAGAGAGGAACAGAGTGAGAGAGAGAGAGTGAGAGAGAGAGGGAAAGTGAGAAAACAAGTTCTCAGGTCTGGGACTCCAACCATGGTTGGCCCTGTGGGAGTCCAGTGCCCTTAACTACCATGCCACCTGCTGGCCCCCCTCCTACCTCTTTTATAAACACAGGTAATAGTGCATGAATGGCCCACTGCATTTCCAACCAACTGATATTTTTTCTTAGATCTTTCTAAACAAAAGAGAAGGCCAACAACCCTCTCAGTCAGGAGTCTCATTGTTAGAAGAAGCTGGCCTTCTCAGTCCTTCGCCATCTTGTCTGGGCAGATTCCCTGGATGCTGCTGTTGGCTGTTATCTCAGGTGGCAATAATCTTGCCACTCTGTCCATGTTACGGTGCTGTCACAGGTACAGGAGCAGCCATGTCATTGACGTGTCATTACTTTTACATTTAATAGGTATTATTGAATTGATCACGCACTCCTTTCAACACTAGAAAGGGTATACAATTTCACTTCAAAACGGTAATGAAATCACCACATGAACCATGTTAAAGAAGAAAGTAACAAAGTTTTAAAACCAAATTGAAAATTTTGGTTAAGTGTTTAAGAAGAGCAGTTTTAAAAAGACCTGTACTTTGAGACTTGAAAATGAATAACACCCTCATTTGACTTCACTAGAGTTGATTAACATTTAGAAAAAAAGATAACTGTCAATAAGTCAGGGAGGAAGGATGTCGGAATATTTTCCCTAGGTGGGGCGGGTGGTGGAGAGGAGGAGAGAGAAACTCGCTTGGAGAGAATATTGAGCAGCATATTTCTGTCGGGAGAGCTCCCTCTTCGCAGTCTGAAATCTAAGTTTAGAAATCAGACAGTGCCTTATTCTCCAGAGAGCCGCTATCATTCTTTTACAGTTCATTTTTATGGAGAAAGTT